TATGAAGCAAAACATCCACTGTCTATCTTTAGCAGATGTGTCTTTCAACGGTAAGACTTCCCTCACCTCTATCTGACCCCTACTCTGCAGCAATTATCTGTCCGAGTGAACTGACAGCTTTGCAGTAAGATAAGCAAACAAAGATGAAATGGTTGCTGAGTAGGACTATAAAGAGCGGGCCTTTTTTCTTGTAGTGTGAATTTGGTATTTCCTGCTAATAATCAAAGACAAAAAGAGAGACGGGCTTGCCTCCGCTTCCGATCCTCCCATCTGAGGGAGAGAAGAGGCGGACACTCGCGGTCCCTGCTGGGCATCTGTCCAGCACAAATCAGACAAGCCTTGTTTTCGAGCCTCGTGGAAATCTAAAGCGGAGCTGGATCCTTGCTGTGAGCCGTAAATGAACAACCAAATATTGGCTCCTAATTGAGAGCAGCAGTTGTCTGTGTGCACAGGCACCCCCGCTGTGAAATTGTGGACAAACACACTGGGACACTAAGTGGCTACTTCCCCTGTTTCTCTCCATCTCTTTTCTTGCTTTCTGTTGTTCCCCCCAGCAACCCTTTATATCACAAGCCAAGGCCTTGCTCTTTTACTCTTTATATTTCTGGCTTTTTAGACAGTTTATAGTAGATGAACATGAAAGAGAAGACAGGAGTGGGTTTAATTGCAACATGCCTGATATGAATTACTTGCTTGGAGCAAAAGCATTCCGTAGCTTTTATTTTCTACTCAATTCTTATTTCTATGCCTTCACAATCTTTCCACGTCCTCCCTGCAATTCCTTTTGCTGCTACCTAGAAGGACTGAGAAGAAAAATGGGCGCTTATGAAAATCCTAATGAAAATTCACCGTGTCGGTAATTGAATACTAACGCCTGAGTCCTGACGAGGGGGATTCAAGCTGCGGCCGCGATAAACGTGCCTTGCCTCCCATTTCTCCGGCTTCCATCAATCATCACAAATCACCACGACAACCAGGGCATCAGTCGTTCCAGCCCAATAAGAACCCATCACAGCACACAGATATTCAAAGAGAGAGAGAGACAGGGGAAAAAATAAAGGGAATAAACTACATCAGGTCATGTCACCCATCGCAGTGTAGCTTTGAGTAACTTTGCATATTCAAGTCTATTCAAATACACAAATTCTCTGAGTTTGAGGTCTGTTTGCAGCATGTAGAGCCTGAAAAGAAACACAGTGACCTGAGAGAGCGGCAACATTGCTTTTGCTAAAATAAACAATGCAAATACACCAACCATGGACATTTATACACACACAAATATACCTGTGGTGACCTGTTTTCATTTTGTTTTGGCAGTGTATTATCGGTTCTGTGCCACATTTATGTACAGCCTAAACATTAAATTATTTTTACACTTGTAAAGCACGAACACACAGGCACATACATACAGCTAGCAAGACAGATCTTTTTAAAGTGCACTACAGTTGAGTCAGGGCAGCTCCAAGCTCAGATAGACTATTGAGGTTTTGCCCTGTTCGCATTGGCAGTGACACAGTCAGACATGTCGATATCAGAGATATCCTGTCAACTCATTGAGAGACCCCGACATCGCCCTCTGCTTCCCCTGAGTGAAAGTGAGAGAATGAAAGACTTAAGGAAAAAGAATGGAAGGATAAGAGGTGCTGAGGCACTACAAGAAGACTGAGAATAAGAACAGTACAACACTGTAATAAATCAGATTCTGGGGTTATACAGACGAGATGGTAAATGTTGACTCAGATTACGATGTGTTGTGTTTATCATAGGTATTCAAATGTGCATATTTTTTAAAATAACAGTCGAAACAGGTTTTAACAAATAGTATCTGCTGTCCTATTTCTGGAACAGCAGAATTAGCACTATGTCCCGAATTGAAAAATTAGTTTAGAGAAACAAACAAGGATGGATAGATATACGGACAAAGAGGGGGAAGGGGTGGTGGAGGCAGTAGCAGAAAGACACAAGGAACACTGTAGTCAAACCCAGTAACTAAGCCTTGGTTTCCCTCTGTCAGGCCAGTTCAGACCTCGGACAGAAGCCGTATTATAGAGCAGTGGGTCTGGCCAAGAGGAAGAACAATAGCTTCTGTGTGCTGGAGCCTCTGGAGCATCTTAACAGCTGGGAGATAGGAGGTCTGTCTGTGGCTGCACTAAATGGCATGTAAAGGGGCGTTGCAATCTTGCACACACATACATTTTAGCTCCCTGCCTTTCCCAGAGTTCCTGACCTATCTCCTTGCCACCACCGCCTCGTGCCAGGCAGCCATCACTCTCTATTTTACTCTCATCTCTTCTTTTCTTCCTCTCACCACACACTCTCATTATGGACTCTGTTATTCTGTTTCCTGCTATCATCCCTCGTCACCTCTGTGGAGAAAGGCAAAAGAGAGCTACTGACAGGGAGATATTCTTCTTGTTAGCATGAGAAAGCCAGAGACTGGCAGGAGATCAGAGCAATGTCAACAAATAAGAGAGGTCCAAAAGCCTCCGCAGGAGACATGCCAAAGCTCTTCTATCACGAGGGCCCTCTGAAACACAGGGAAAAAATAAGAACTGAAAAACTGTGCAGGAATGTCATCCCTCGCAGCAAAGAGTTCACAAACAGCAACACACAAAACCATGGTGATGTTTTATTCTATTCTGGCACTAAACCTGTAGATGAGACCATTCACTGAAAACTGAAATCCATGTATCAAAGAGCAGGTTATGTAGCTAGACCCTTTACCTTTCCTGCTTTCCACCTGTGCTTTATGTTTTCCAGAAGGCTCAAAGAAAAAACACTTATTTTGAGAAAAGCTCAGGAGCAAATACGCCTGAAAAGAACTTGCCTGAAACACAACAACAAGGACTGGAGGCCACAACAAACAACCTTCAGCACACATACTCTCAGAACTGGAGCAAGGCTTCAATCACCGGTTCTGTTAATGTTATTTTTGGGGAAGAGACACAGTAGTATGTCTTGAAGCCATTTTTAAATTCTGTGCTGTTGTGAAACTTATCCTATAGCTCCCACTCAGTCATGTGATAGTGTGGATTCCTCTGCTGTGGACTGATCATTTTAACAGCTGCAAGGGGTCAAAGCCACTCTCACATGCATTAACTACCCTGAATGTATTTTGTTAGAGATGTTCCGGTGCTATTTTCCTTTCCCGATACCTGGACTTTGCATATACTGAGATACTGAGTACCGATCCAAAACCTGAGCATTTAAGAAAATAACAATTTGTAAGATGTATTTTAACAGCTGTATTCTACTATCCCTGTGGAAGTGATGAGTGTTATTGTTGTTGTATTGCCTGGCACATGTTGCTGTTTTACTAGTGGGACTTTCCAGTGTGCAATATTGCCAAACTGCAGACATTTTAGCTAGTTCTGGCTAATACGACACTGCCGGACAGTGCAACAGCTGTCTTGGAGCAGCAAGGAAGAAGAAGTAGTGATTTCCGGTAGAAGAAAAGTGTAGTTTTATAAGACGTGGTATTGGATTGGCGCATATACTGTGATGCCAGTATTTTGGGCAGTAATGTAGGCATTTTCAGATGTTGGTATCTGTATTGGGACATCTCCCTTTTTTTGTACAATGATCACTTCTTTAAACGAGAGACTATGTGGATAGTGTAGGTGCACAGAGCTGCTTGGCTGAGATTCAACACTTATTGTTTGTTGACACCGGTGTGGTATTTAAATTAAACTCCTCTTTAGCAACAACAAAGACTTGATCTGAACTGACCTGAGGAAGGTGAACTTTAAATATCATTAAATACCCTGAATGTAATAACTGTGAGCTCTAAATCCTACTTGCCCATTTTTTATGTCTGCTTTGCATGATCAAAAGATTTGAAAGTAATTTTAATACATCATATGAAAAACTGGCCCCACTAATCTTCTGTCAAACACAGCGTACACAGACTTTTATCAATGGCTCCGCAGCTGCTGTTTCCAAAGGTAATTCATTCATCACCAACCACTGATGTGAACACACATTTCCACCACAGACTGCTGCTACGCCACCACTGTATTTCCAACAACAGCAGCATCCCGTGACTCCCTCTGATTTCTTTTAAATGGACAGGACGCAGGAAATATGGTCGGTCTAATGTGAGCCACACAGCACCACATGAGCGGGCATCATGTAATGACACATTGAAGCTGTCTCCAACTATAAAAGCATGATCACAGCCACTGAAGGACACCGCTCCTCGTGCCCACTTCTTCTTTTGCTGCTGCACTTGAAGTAGTACAAAGAAGGTTTCAAATTTCGCAAAGCATGATTTTCACTGGGCTGAGAGGGCTACCATCCCCCCATGACTGCAAACCCAAGCTGGCTGAAATAGACCCCAGCCCCTATATCCTCCTCTCTCTCTTCTGAAGCAAGTCAATGCATCCTTAGTGAGGAAAAAAAAAATGAAACCACCTATTGCCTATGTCAACCCAACTACAACCTCAAACTCTAGAATGCACTAAAGGATAAATGCATTGGATGTAATAAATGACATGTGGCTTTTTTTAATGCAATTTCAGAGACATTGCAAATATTTGCTCTCCGGTTTCTCACCAACACGATGCCCCCCCCTCAGTCTGCATAAGTCAAGACGCTGCTGCAGCTCATGCAGATGTGCAGCTCTGCAGTTTATCGACACTTAATTAAAAACAGCCACATTACACATGTATTCACTCGTTAATGAACCTTTTAGTGGTGCTCACTTGGTTTGAGCTACTTCAGACTCCTGTAACAACACTGCTGCCACATTAGTCACCTGTGCACAGGGTTAGTCACAGTCAGGCAGTGATGGCCAGGCAGGGTTGAATTACCAGCAGCGTTTACATCGGTCAAGTCAAAGGCTGCCGACATGGTGACTCTGGTTTAATAAGGCTCTTTCTAGCTGATGCTGTATACGATGCAGTTAGGTTAAGAGGTGACGTTGCTAAAGTCACATTTCAAGTTTAAATAAAAATGTGACTAAGGGACAAAATGTTCGTTTTTTTAATTTTCTTTTTTACCTGATATGTTTGTTAAAAATTATTCCTCTTTACTGTCCGTCCATCCTCACTGAGCTGCAGAGCATGCCCCCGTATCCAAGGCTTTAAATCCCCGGCTCGGCTCCATGTTTGTTCGGGTCTCTGACATCAGATGAAGTCCTGCTGCTGGAAGAGGAGAGCGACCCGGGGACTCTGTGTTTCCGAAGGGACGCTCCGGAGAAACGCGGGTGGAATCCGGCGTTAAATCCGCTCCAGCGATGCCAAGAGCTGGTTAGGAAGAAAAAAGAAAACCGCGTGAAATTCACCCATGTGCGACGCACACGCTCTTTTCGACGTGAAGGACGTGAAGTGATGTTAATTCTCGGGGAAATGTCCCCATTGTATTCAGTGATAATGGTACGTACCACTCTATTGTTGGGGGCGCGAGAGGAGAGGAGCGTCCCGAGCAACTGACACGCGCTCGTGGGTTCCTCGTGGGGACGTGCGCGCTCGCTGTATTGGCTCGTTACCTGCAACCGTCGTCCAATCGATCAAAGGACCTTCGATTCGATCATATCGATCAAAATGAATCGATACGGTTATAGCACATTTACTACACCACAAATCACTGGAACATTTTTTTTTACATCGGTCCTTCTTAGCTCGTGATTCGAGAAACTGTACTTATTCACTATTAAACATATTTAAAGATACCATATGTTCACACTTGGTTCATGTCTTCATGATATTTATGTACTATTACATGTGTCTGCTAATCTTATTCTACTGTTGTTAACAAAATGCCACAATAAAGGGGGTAAAAACAGTACAGTATTTTGAGTTTCTTTATTACATTATGTATGTTAA